AGCGACGCTCTTAATGTTCTTGATATAGGAAAAATTATCATCCATCGTGATGGAAAAGGTCTCTTTTCAACTCATAGGCAAGTCGTTGAGAAAACTCACACCGCAAGAAATAGATGTTGAGCGTTGAAGTAACTTCGTAACCCGTCAGGCAGTCTGGTAGAGAACCACAAAGGCGGGGAAAGAAACTTGATTTATGGAGTCACATGTACAAAACGATGCGTTTCAATTGAAGCTCGGATCCTCCTCCCCCATGGCCACAGGTGGAAGTGTCAGCCGTGTAGAAAACAATGTCAGAATCCGGGATTTTAGCATTGCTGGGTTAGGGCAGAGTGCTGTCCCCTCGACTAACCAGCTTGAAAGCAAAGAGGTTCCTGCTCAAAACTTCTACCGTGTGAAAAATGCGGGTGTTTTTTTTTTTGAAAGACATGTTTGCATCCATTGGACGGCGCTCGAATGTCTTCTTGCAAGCAGGTACTGTTTTTGGCTTGTGAGAAGACCATTTGGATAACCTGTTCTTTGCTGCAGCCTGAAGGAGGGTTTGTAAACTGGATGGAATGGAAAAGGATCCTCTGCATTAAAAATGGGGTTCGGGGTAGTACTGCCGTTTAACTCTCTCAGCTCCAATTTCCACAACCATACACTGACCTGAGACTGAAAGATAGGAGTAGCAATAGTTCCCATTTCTTGCTATTTTTGCTGGAGTTGGGAGTCACGCAACGACACAATCTAATGTCGCGTCATTGTTTTCCAAAATATATTTACATTAATTGCCTGGTGGAGGGCAGAGAGAGGAGTTCAGAAGGGTATATAGTAGACTTAAGGCTTCTCGGGTCCCTATTATTTATTTATTTCCTTATTTATCCGAGCCATGAACGTTTGGAAAAAGGACATCCACTAAAATTAAAGACAGAATGCCTCTTAAGACATCCACCAGAACCTTGCTTTCTGCATTAAATCCATCGTTTTCACATAAAGTCGTTTTTTTCATTCCGCAGCTTGTTGCTTGATTTTCTTGCCGGGATTGTTGTAAAGACTTTGGCAGCAAGAAACCTTGGCCCAGGTCGTAGAATAAATCATTGAGAGATGGACCTCTGGAGCTCAATTGCCCGCGATCGGTGTATGGGAAAGATGAGCAGACCGACGCTCGAACTTCAACAGGCGGGCGGGCGATTCTACATTTCCTATCTCTAGCGTCCGAGAAGGGGAAATGGGGTCCTTCTGCTCGGGCGCTCGCGGGACCTGCAAAGCCTGGCGATTGGCTGGGCAGCCGCCGCCGCAGCGCGTCAGAGGAGAAGAAGAAACTGCGGGCGGCCGGAACGCGGGCTCTTCTAGCCGGACGACATGGAGGAGTTGGATGTCGAGCCGTCGGTCACGGTGCGTTCCCGGGCCCTTCCGTGTCGGGGCTGGCGCACAGCGCCGAGGGAATCGTCGTAGAGGAGGGCCGGGGGAGAATTGCAGGCGGCAGGAAAGCGCCCTCAACCGTCGGAAGGGAAGGCTTCCCTTGGGGCCGTTTCCCCATTAGGGACTGAAAGCCACTGCATGGCCTCCCCCGTGAAGGGATATAAGGCCTGTTCTTAGCACTGTTGTTTTTGGCACAGTGGCGGGTGGATAATCCTAGGAGGTGCTGTAGATATGTAATGTCAGGCAGAACCGCATGGTTAAAGATCACCTTTTGGAAAAGCGGAGCTGATAAGCATAGGGAACATTGAAGGGCCAGAAGGAAGAAGTCTGAACTGCTATTCTTCCATTTTTTTTCTTTAAAGGGGGTTGTGGTTGTCTACATTGTAAGCTGTGAAGACATGTAAAGGTTGTTAAGTTTTTAATACATGGGATATTAAGTGCAAGCAGTTTTTAAGTATATGAATTATTTCAGTGATACCATGTATGGATGTTTATGTATGGTAGAGATTATTCTGTTGTAGCCCATATGTGATGGCATCAGTGTTACATAAAAACCTAGCTTCAAGAGGATAAAGGTGGGGTAGAATAAAAATGAGATGGTATTAACCTTTGAGTGACAGACTGTGCCTAAACAAGGTTTTAGTTTTACACAGAAAGCTCACTGATAGCTAAGTAGCAACCTTTAAGCTATGGATAAATGTAAATGTGGCTCATGCTCTGTGGAATTGATAAAAACTGTTTATGTGTATGGTATCGTTATCAAATTTCTTAGGTATAGGTACAAACCTGCAGTTTGCAGTGTATGTGCAAGTGTCAGAATAATTTAGCAGGCCAAATATCTGGATGAAATTTCTTGACACAGCTCTACTCAAGTTGTGGGATGTTCCTCTGAAGAAGGTTATTCTTTTCCAGATTTTGAATGGCAAATGTTGATGGAGGGTGGGATTTTCAGGATCCAAACAAACTCCAGCATGGAAGAACCTTTTTGTGTACCAGTTTTTTCTTTATTTTTGAGATGTCAAATTCTAAAAAGTCTTAGTTTTGCTTCCAGTTATGCAAGGCTAATAACGTACTTGGTTTATGTAACTGTAATTAAATTCACCCCCTTAGAGTTAAGCAAGAGCCTTTATTATGCTTAGGCAGAATATTGTTCTCCACATCCTCTTCTCCCTTGGAATTCTGTGTAAACATGATCACTCAAAGTCTGATATTCCTCCATCTTTGGTGGAGAATTCCCTTCTTCCAGAAATTCTTTGGTGGTTTTTGGTCTAATCCAGAATCTGCAGATCTTTAGCAGCCAAAGCTGCCTGAAACAAATTTAGCTTTTCAGACATAATCTTCTTCATTTCTCTAAAACTCTAATGACAACCGTTGCTTTCCTGCCAACTCATTAGCCTGTTTCTACTTTCTGCCCCTGCTTTCCATGACAAACTCTGTGTGTGAGAGAGAAACACTGACCTGTTTCATTCCCTATTTTCCCCGATTTGTCATTTGTGGTGCTTACCACATATAGGCAGGCATAGCTTGTCTTTCTGGGAGATCATGTGGATGGCAGACCATGTTTACCTGTTCCTTTCTGTCACAGCACTATATATAATTTCAGTTGTACTTATTGCTTTTATGTTTGTTGATGACTTAAAACGCTTTTGATTTCAGCAATATTAACATGATTGTCCAATTCTTTCTGCTTTTTTCAAATTAAACAGCTGATTCCAGGAGTGAACTCTGACCAGAAACAGTTATGCTTTACATGGGGACCCACAGAGATGTTGGTGTGTGAAACATTGTTTAGGCCGACAGGTTGGCAATGTCTTTTATTAAATGTAGTGAGAGTTGTTTTGCTCGTTTGTTTAATATGCTCATAATGAATAAACCAAAGCAAGTTATTGTAATAGGTTAGCTGTTGAAACTGGTTCAGCTCCCCTTTTCTCAGCTTTGAGCAAACTGATATCAGTGGCCTCTTTTTGATAACCTTTCTTCTGCTAACTACATTCCTTTCTTCAATCTTTTCCCTAACCCTAGCTCTTTTGTCTTTGAAAGGAAATAAATATTAGAAAAATAAAATGGGCACCTTATTACAAAAGTGATTGCTAAAGCATAGGAACCAAAAAGATTGCCAAAAGTTATCAAATTATTGATAAATCATATAACCAAAGTATTCTAGTGATTATATGATATTTGTACTAAGGACGCCCCTTCTCTTTTCCTTATTTCCATCCAGGTCTGTTTTCTCTGCCATATTTCTTTCTGTTTTCTGTTTCTTGCATTGTTACTTAATTTTAAATGTTTTTACAGTTTGTAAAATGCTCAGAGTTGCTGGGAGCCAGATGGTATACTAATTAATATCAGTAATAAATAACAATATTAATTATTTACTATTGTTAATTAATATCAATAATATTAATTCATATGTTTTTGGTCCTTATTGAGAGCCAGTTTGGTCTAGTGGCTAAGGCACCAGGCTAAAAACCAGGAGACTGTAAGTTCTGGTCCCACCTTAGGCCTGAAAGCCAGCTGGGTGACTTTGGGCCAGTCACACTCTCTCTCAGCCCAACTCATCTCACAGGGTTGTTGTTGTGGGAAAATAGGAGGAGGAAGGAGTATTAGGTATGTTCGCCGCCTTGAGTTATTTATAAAAAATAATAAAAGGGGGGGAAAAATTAAAAAACCCATCATAATAGTAAATCCTGAGATTACTGACAATGGAAGACCATCTATTTCTAGGTCTTCCTTTTCTCTCTGATTTTACTTTAAACAACTTCTCTTCCATAACTGCCTCTGAATACTCTTATACCACTGAATCAGAAACAGTCTAAAATAGAGACAGTATTACTGGCAGCAAATGGTAGTTTATGCCTCAGAATAGTTCAACTCTGACACTTAACTGTCTGTGGTGGTGTGGAGGCTTGCTTGGTGAGGAAGCAACCCCCCACTTCCATCAGATTGTGAGGCTCATATGGAACTGCTACAGCTTTTTGTATCTTGTCAACTGTGGGTGCTAAGAAGCCATGGCCCATCCCAAATTCTATGGGGGCATCAATTTTCTGGAGAGGAGAGAGTCCAAGAGAACTCTTGTCTGTGCATGTAACCATGGATAGCTTTTGAAGGAGTCAAATGAACTTTGCAAAGGACATTACTGCTTTACACACAAGAGAGGTTTTAAGGTGCCTTGCAAAGCCCCACTTTCAAAAGTTTTGCACAGCCCTAGGAATATGTGGCTAAGAAAGAATTGTGAAATTGTCATTAAGTGATTGCAATAATTATTGTTTATGTTTGTTTAGATTGTATTCATTTTTGTATAGTTATGTAAATGGAGTTTGCATTCATCTGTTGCCTCAGAAGAAGTTGCTAACTGGACTTCTTGAGGTCTTGATAGGTGGCACATTAATGTATATTCATTTTTGTGCAATTGAGTTCAAAAGCAAAAGATTGGAAAAGCTCCAGGTCCAGACGGTGTGACTACCTCGTGTCTGAA